ATGATAGATAATTGGTCAAAGGATAAGAACAAACAGTTCTCAAAAGAAGAATTGCAAACTATTAATAACCATAGGAAAGAATGTTCCAAAACACTAATAAGAGAAATGCAAATCAAAACAACCCTGAATTTTCACCTTATACTCTGAAAATTAGCAAAGATGACAAAAGCAGAGAATAGTCAGTGTTGGGGGGGTTGTGGGTTGATAGGCATGCTAGAGCTTTGTTGAGGTAGCTGTGAGTCAGGATAGCCATTCTAGAAAGCAATTGGAAATTATGCAAATAAAGTGATTAAAATATCCACACCCTTTAGCCTAGTGGGCAGGAAGGAGGTGGGCATTCTCTAAGAAAGCAAATTCCACTACTAGCTTTACACCCCAAGGAAGCCATTAATAAAAAGGAAATCCATATATACCCACATATAGCAGTACTTTTTGTGATAACAAAAAATTGAAAACAAAAATGATGCCCATTGATTGGGAAATGGCTAAGCAAATTGAGGAACATGAATGTGATGGAATAGTGTTACACTCTGAGAAATGATAAATATGAATACAGAGGAGCATGGAAAGACTTACATGAACTGATGCAAAATGAAGTAAGCAGAGCCAAGAAAACAGTATACACAATGACCATAACAATGTAAATGGAAAGAACAGCTAAAAAAGCAAATAAACGAAAATGGATGTTGTAAATTTGCAAAGAACAAGCTTAGCTCCAAAGAAGACATATGAGAAGACATCCTCATCCTAACCCTCTAACAAGGAAAGAAGTCCATTAGTGTGGTACATTACACAAATCTTCAGACTTTTTTGATGTGATGTGAATGTGCTGATTTTTTCCTATTCTTTTCTTTTTTCACCTTTTTGTCTGTCCCATATTATTTTGTTATATGGGATGGTTCTCTGAGAGAGGAAAGAGGAAAGATACTAACGGGAAATCATGGTAACATAAAACAACAAAAGAAATCAATAAAACTTATTTAAATATTTGTTTACTCGTTTGGTTGACAAATACTATTCCAGACATAATTTGTTCAGTGTTTTGCTAAGTTTCATAATACACTCATCAAAGTTGTTGGCCAGTATTTTGGGGAATGTTCTGTACAAAGTCCAAAATGAAGGTGGATTTCCTATTGTTGGAGATGTTCTGTTGATTCCCCTGTTTGATGTTTACACAACTAGTTGTATCATGCCCCAGAGCACTTCAGGTCTCCTCAGTGAAATCTATAACCTCTAAGTAAAATTAACCCAACCATCCACACTGAAGAAACCAAATGGATAAAGAATTAACCTTGCCAAGATTATGACATGGAGCTGAATGGGCAGACCATTAGGTTAGTCTACCAATGCACATATTTGGAAAAGCTCTGTAAATGGGCAATAATCCAGATCCAGAAGCAAATTGGAGGGAAAAAGCAGATTGAATTGCATTTGGAAAATTGTACATACCTTTAGTATTCTCAAGCTTCTCCCTGCTACTGAAATCCATCTTTTTAAAAGACCCCTATCTTCCCAGTGATACTATCTGGTTTTGAATCATGATGAAACATTGTGATCCTAGAATTAAAATCGTGACCAAAGTTTCAACTCAAAGTTAGAAAGAAAAAACTTCCCAACAATCAGCTATCATGAAATGGAAGGAGTGAATTCCCTCCCTCCCCAGAAGACTTCAGGGGAAGTCTCAGTATCCACTTGGTAGGTATGTTATAGAGGGTGTTCCTGTTCAGGTAGGAGATGGACAAAATGACCTGAGATTCTGTGGTTTAGATCGCTTTGTTGAATTGCTACTTCCCACCATATCCCAACTCCATCTAAGTCCCTTCCATTTTTCTTTACTGATGTGTGAGCCTTGATTATTCCCAAACATTAAGGGTCCTTTCTCTTGCCTCTCTGGACTTTGGTTGATTTCTGATTGTTTTGGCCAGTGGTGCTGACAAGTCCCTGGCTCTGCCCCACTGGTACTAAGGACAAGACCCTACCTCTGTCTACTCGTGCCTAGGGTTTTTTCCCTTCTACTTGGAGGGCATGTGGTCTCTTGACTAGATAGGACAGGATAACTATGCATGGGAGGCAGCCTGGTATCATGGGGAGACCCCTGGCTTAGGAATCAAAAGACCTAGATTCTAGTCCTGTTTCTGCTACTGTGTGACCTTGGGCCTCAATTTCTTCTTCTGTAAAATGAAGAAATTGGACGCAATGATCTTTAAGGTCCCTCCCAGCTCTAACATTTTATGATTTTCATCTGCATTCTAGGATTTAGGCACAATCTTGGGTTCCTTTTTGTGCCTTGATGAACTTGGGGCATGGGAAGTAGCTTCTTCTTGTCCCCTCTGTGGCATATCCTGAGACTTTGGAGGTGAATTAAGCTGGCCTTGGGTCGACACTGCCATCCAGGTGTCAAGCAAGCTGTCACATAATATATAAGCCCTGGAAAGCTGTGGGCATTGGAACGTAGCACTGTCTATGTCCAAGTGGCACAGTGGATAGAATATCAGACATTGAGTCAGGTAGACCTGGTGTCAAATCCTGACTCAGGCACTTACTAGACAAAATCGCTTACTCTCTCAGCCTCAGTTTCTTTATCTGTAATATTAGGGAAATAATACCTTTGCAGAGTCATTGTGAAGATCAAATGAGGGAACATATAAAATACTTTGCATACCTTAAAGCACTTTGCAAATGCTAGCTAGTATCTATATGGACACATCACCTACCTACTCATGTAAATACATATGCTGGGGATGTCTCTGTTCTCTGCCCTCTATTAATCCATGAGCACATGCAATGGGGGACACACGCCTCACCCTATCCTTTTCCTCTTCTTCCCCACAGGTTCCATTTGGAAAATAGGATCCAGATTGTCCGCCATGATATCACTTCTGGTACATTCCTCTGGACCTTTCCCTCTTCCCTTCCTCACTTTATCCTCAATAATCTGGCAAATACGCTCAACTCTTGGTTCTCCCCAGTGGAGCCTCTCCCCAATTTATGGCTAACTGCTAGGACTCTTGCTTTCAGGTTCTTATTAGGTGGATGGCTCCTTAATCAGCTCATTTATGGTCACATACCCTCAGAGCTCAGCTTAGGTGAGGTCTTCCCTGGTCCTTCATTGCTCCCCAGTTAATGGCACTCTCTCCACCCTTAGATTACCTGCTCTTATCCTTCTCTGTATACATATTATGGTCTTCCAGGAGATTGTAAGCTCCTTGAGGGTAGGTGACCTTGTTTCTCTCAGCACCTAGCACAGTGCTTCACGCACAGTAGGAGCTTAATACGTGTTTGTGAAAACAAGACTTTTATTTACTCCAGCCAAAACAAGTGTTTTCCCTCCCCCTTCCACTGCCTGTTTCCCATCCTAGAACCTTGTAGCCAGCTCAACTTTTTTTGGTCGCCTTTGATTGCACCAGAGGAGCCATACCACTCATGCCTAGTGTAAAGCAAGGAAACAGAGAAGAGCTGAGTTGAAGGTAGAAGGGATAAAGGCAATAACTGTGGAACTTCTACCCATCTAGACCTTCATAGTATGATTTTATTACTATAAATATTAGATGCAAACTTATTTGAATGTAAGGGCTAAAATCTCTCTCTTAGACATAATTTTTGGATTCTACACAATGCTGCCCTTCCCCTCATTGGCATGAAAACTCAAGAGTTAACTCTAGCTCTTTAGGACATTCAAAAAAAAAGACTATTCTTTGTATAGTTCCTAGGAGATGAGCAATCTGGGAAAATAGTGTTTGTGGGCTGGTAAATTTTGGGTACTTATTTGCAAGGCTGACTTATGAAGTCCCACAGTATGGATTCAAATGTTGGTTCTGCAGCCAACTATCTGTTGTGACTTTGGGCATGTCAGTTGGCCTCTCTGGGCCTCAGCCTCCTCAGGGCTGGCCTAAATGATGTTCAAGATCCCTTTTAGTCCTCAATCCTGTGTTTCTGCAGTCCTCTGCTCCATGCTACATCATGTAGGCATCCTGCAAGATGGGGCCTGGCTCTCCTGGTTCTTGCACTTAATAAAACAAGTCTGATCAAGAGACAGGCAATGGGGGTAGGAGGGGGTTGATGATTCAGGGTGGAGCTGTCACCTACAAAATTCATAGGATGAGAGGCAATGTGCCATAATAGAAAGAGCCCTGTATTTGAAGTCACAAAGACCTGTGTTTGAAATCTGCCCAAGACGCTTACTAGCTGTATGACTTTGGCCAAGCCACCCTCTCTTAACCTCAGTTTCCTTACCTTTAAAATGGGGATAATTGCGTCTAATAGTTTTGTTTCAAGGATCAAGTGAGATGATACGTGGAAAGTTCTTTGTAAACATGAAGGCACTATGTCAGTGTCAGCTGTTATAGGACTGTGGATTTAGAGAAGGAAGTTTTTAGCAACCATTTAGTCTAAACCATTTCCAACTCCATTTAGAGACATAGGAAGTGAGCAGCTGAGTCAGAATTTGAATGACCATCTTCTGATTCCAAGTCCAGAGCTCTTTCTTTTCTCCCTTGCCCGACTATCTGTGGCTCTTTGCCCTGGGAGTCAGAGGCTGGGTGCTGTCCAGCCTGGGACAGAGGAGTCCTCCTTCTTAATATAGGAGTGAACAGGAAACAGCTGCTTCCCTGGGGACCAGTGGACTTTGTGGTCAGCAACCCCCCATACATTTTCCATCGTGACATGGAGCAGCTGGCCCCCGAGATCCTCAGGTACGTGTATCTTCCCATCCTTAGAGGACAGGTCTGTGTAACAGGAGACAGACAGGGAGGTAAAGGAGAAGATGCTAATTTTCTGGAGTTGTTTCTGGGGGAGGGGGGTGATGTCTGATGGACCTGAGGGATCTTTGAGGAGGCAAGTTCTTTGGCTTCCTTGGGGGATCTTCTGAGTCTACTGCCTCAATCCTTTAGCCCTGGGCTACATGACTATTTTAGCATCTGTTATAGCACATTATAGTCATTAAGCCTGACTGAGAGTGGATGGGGGAGTGGCCTGGCCCTGACCTTTTAAACCCAGGCCACAGGAAGCCACCTTCTCCTTGTTCTTGCTCCAGCTATGAAGACACTGAGAGTTTGGATGGAGGTGAGGATGGCATGAGGGTGATAAGAGAGATCCTGTCCCAGGCACCCATGCTGCTGAAAGACTCAGGGTATGAGGAGAGGGAGGAGCAGGGTGGGAAGAAGAACAGGGTGGGAGCTTCCTGGGGTAAGGCCCCCACTGTTCCCCCATCCCTTACCACATGGGTTTTCTCCCCATTGGGGAGATTCTGCCCAAGCCTAAGGCCAACCTGTAATGATGGCTTTTCTCCAATACCTACAGATGCTCTCTGCCATCCCTAATCATAACCTAAGGTAACAAAACATAGAATGAAAAAAGCCTGAGCTGGTAGTCAGGAGACCAGAGCTCTGCCACTTGACTTCCCTATGTGATCTTGGTTAACATACTTCTTCTAGAGAGCATAGAATTTTAAAGCTGGGAGAGTCATAAGAATTTCCTTGGGCCTCAGTTTTCCAATCTGTAAAATGAGGGAGTTAGATGAAATGGCCTATGAGACTTTTTAAAAAACTATTAATTAATTTATTTTTAACATTCATATTTTTAAAAATTTGAGTTCCAAATTCTCTGCCTTTCTCCCATCCCTCCTACTACTTATTGAGAAGGCAAATAATGTGATATCAATTATATATGCAAAGTCATGCAAAATATTTCCGTATTAGCCATGTTGCAAAGAGAAGTGAAAAGTGAAAAAGTAAGCTTCAATCTGCACTCAAAATGTATCAGTTCTCTCCCTGGAGATAGATAGCATTTTTCATCATGAATCCTTTGGAATTATCTTGGATCATTGTATTGATCACAGTAGAGTATTCTTTCGCAGCTGATCATGAGACTTTTCAAAAGACCTAGTAATAATGACAGCTCACATTTATTTAACATTAATTCAACTCTAGAGTTTATAAAACATGCCATGTACATTATCTCATTTGACTCTAGCCAGCCGTTGAGGAAGGGAATGCAAATATTATCATCCCCATTTCACAGGAGAGAAAACTGAGGTTCATATGTCCTTCACATTCTGTCTTTCGTGGATATGGGCCAAATCAGTCTCACTGGGCACCATGAGCTTCCTCTTTAAAGGAAAGCTTCCTTTAACAAAAGTGCTGAGTTTATTTTAAAGACAGCTAGACTCTTACCAAGATTGGGGGGGGGGGCAAGCCTGGAGTGCCCCCAGCTAGTAAAAAGCCTATTGATGTTTCTGAGATTTCTTTAGCACTTTAAGGTTTACAAAGAATGTCCCTGTTATGGGAAGGAATGCACGTATTGTTATTCCCATTTTACAGAGGGTAGAAACTGAGGCACAGGCCTAGAGTCACCTAGGAATGAAGGAGAAGAAGATCCAGAACTTGAATTCAGATCCTCTTGACTCAGGACTCAGGGCCTCTGCCAGTACATCCCATTGCCTTCTAACTGACTTCTTGTTTATCTCCCTCTCCACAGAAGCATCTTCCTAGAAGTTGACCCTCGGCATCCAGAGCTAGTTGGGAATTGGTTACAAAGCCACCCTGACCTGGCTCTTTCAATCTCTGCCACACATGTTGACTTCTGTGGCAAGTAAGGCTTTTTGTCCCCATGGCTCTCTCTCTATCCCTTCTGAAAGGCCCTATGAATACCCTCAGTAAATAACACCTTGACTGTCCCTGTATGGTCCTCATGCTCCTGACCTGGCCGCTGGGCCTTTTATTCCAAGCTGTGTCTCCAGCAGTGGGGATGGGCTGCACTGAGTTCTTCCCACTCTCAGCCAGTCAGTCTTGAGGCTAACTGGAGACATCTGTGAGTCCACCAATGGCCATCATCAAGGCTGAGTCCTGGAGCCAGGGTCAGAGGTCATTCTGTGACCAAGGAAGAGTTTCTAGTCAAAGCTAGATGAGCCTTCTGAGAACAACTCCCCAATTGTGTGATCCCTGTTAACTTAGATTTTCTTGGTAACCCAGGACTGATTTGAGCTCTGCTTTTCTCAGTCTGTTTGCTTCCCCTTTGTCTGTCTGGGCAATCCACCTCTCCTGGGAGCCTTAGCAGAGACCTTTCAGGGTTTTCTTGTTTCTCCTGATGACTCCTGGCACCAGCCTCATTTCTTCTTTCTTTTTTTAATTTATTTATTTGTAGTTTACAACATTCACTTCCACAAGATTTTGAGTTCCAAATTTTCTCCTTATCTCATCCCTCCTCCCACTCCAAGCCAGCATGCATTCTGTATATCCCTTCCCTTAATCTACCCTCCCTTCTGTCTCTCCCCACCTTCTCTTATCCCCTTCCCCTTCTATTTTCCTGTAGGGCAGGATAGATTTCTATACCCCATTTCCTGTATTTCTTATTTCCCAATTGCATGTGAAAACAATTTTTTTAACCTGTATTTTCAAAACTTCCTCCCTCCCCACCCACTCTCATTGAAAAGGCAAGCAACTTGATATAGGTTATACACGTATAGTCATGCAAAACACTTCCATAGTAGTCATGTTGTGAAAAACTAAGTATATTTCCCTTCATCCTATCCTGCCCCCCATTTATTCTGTTCTCTCTTTTGACCCTGTCCCTCTTCAGAAGTGTTTCACCAGCCTTATTTCTTCCCATCTCTTTTAGGCCCCGGTTCCTACATATTCGCAAGTTGAGGTAGTGGCAGTTGGGGTACCCAGAACATACCAAACCTCTGGTTCATGGGAGCTTCCAGCAGATCCATCTTTTGAAGGCTAATAATGCAGCAAGAGGCAAGGTTGTCCTCCCAGGATTGAGGGCCCAGACTCCGGGAGCATGGGGTTCTCCATGGTGGAGGAGTAGGGATGGGGGAGGTCTATGGGGATCTTATTCCATCCATCCTCTTGCTACCAAGATGCTCAGGTTTAGGATAGACACTGGAGGGTCTTTACCCCTGTCCTGGGCCTGCTCACTAGTAGTGGGGGTTGGTGTTTATTCTCCTTCACAGAAATATTCCTTATAGACCCTCAGGAGAACTTACCACCTCCTTTCCTTACGAACATCACACCCCCACGTCATCAACAACTACTCCTAACCAGTCAATATGGAGAAAAGCTATTGCCCTGACCAGAAACAGGGATAGACAAAAATGACCTCCATTGGTCTTTTCTAAAGAGTACTAGATTTGGAGATGAGGGACCTAGATTCAAATCTGTGACCAATTTTGCCACTACTAACTGTGAGATATATGAGCCTCAGTTTCCTCTCCTGTTGAAATGGGAATAATAATATTTGCATCCTCTTCACAGGGTTATTAGAATCAAATAAGATAATGTACATAGCATGTTTTGTAAACTCAAGAGTTTAATGTTAAATAAATGTAAGCTGGCTTTATTACTATGACTCTTGAGAAGTCAATATATTCTTTGTGAGTATGTCTGTTGAAGGGATGGTGTGGGAGGATTAGTAAGTCAACAAGCTTTTAGTAAGCCATTACTTTGTGGTAAGGGCCAGTGACTAATAGGTCAAGCCTCCCCAAAGTTTCTGTTCTCAGCTGAACCTTGTATTTATTTAACTAAAAGGGTGGGCCGGGCCAAGTGGCACACTGCCTTTATTTTATCCCTCTTGTTCCCCGAAAGCCAGTCATTGGCTTTTACAAAAGTATTAGCTTAGCCTCACCTTGGTTTTTTGTTTTTTTTTTACCCATCATCCATTTGTTACTACTGGAGATTTTAGTGAAGTTAGAAACTAAAAATGAATCTGAATTCAAGACCCTTGGCTTCTCAGAAGATAATTGCTTTAGTGTATAATTTGCCAGAGAAGAGAATAATCCTGAAGAAGCTGCCTTCTCCTCTCTTTAAAGAGTAGGCATTTTATGCTTCGGACAAAGCTCACATAAAGACGAGGTTGGCAGTTTCCCTCCATTCCAAAAGCTAGGTAGTTCAGTGGTTAGAGCATTACACTTAGACTCAGAAAGATCTGAATTCAAATCCAGCCTCAGATACTCACTAGCTGTGTGACCCTCTGTGTGACCTCCGGGGGGTGGAAGGAGGGGGCACTAAAATTAAAATTAAAGCAGTAGTTCTGGCTCTGATGTACATGGACAGTAAGAATAGTCATCAATGGATAGAGTGCTGGGCCTGCAGTCAGGAAGATCTGAGTTCGAATCCAACCTCAGATACAATTATTAGCTGTGTGACCCTGGGCAAGTTACTTAACCTCTCAGTGTTCTAGGTTATACTGAGAGTTAAGTTATGGACAAGGTACCATTTGTAGCATTTGAAGGAGTTCCCTACATGGATGAAATGACAGATAACATAATAATAGCAAGCATTTATATGGTATTTCAAGGTTTGTAAAGTACTTTATAAATATTGTCTAATTTTTGATCTACAAAAAAGGTCCTCTTTAAATAAAAAAAAAGGCCTTTACATTTGACAAAGCATTTTCCCATTATCATTTGAACAACAGTCCTGGGAGGGGGAGGGGGTAGTGATTGATATCCCCATCATACAGCTGAAGTAACTAAGGTCAGGAATGGGAAGGCACATGGGCAGTCGATGGTAGAGCCTAGGGGCTCCTGATTGTGGGAAGGTTGGTGCTCTCAGCCTTGTTATCCCAGATTCTTCCAGTAACTTAGGTATGTTCATGCTCCCCATTGGGCCTGGTTTCAGTAGCCACTTTCTTGGTGCGGCACTTTTGAGAGCCTGCCACATGGAACACAGTGCTGCTATCAGAATGGCAGCCTAGGGCATTCTGAAACAACACCGGGAACGGTGGCTTTGGCCTACAAAGGGCCTGGGTTGGGGGGAGCCCATCTCTTTTCCTCCATCTGTAGGAATGTTTTTTTTTTTTTTCACAGAATAAAAAAAATTGACCCCTCCATTCAATTCAGCATGCTCATATTATTCAGGAACGTACTGTGCCCAACGCTTACACTGGTGCTGGCAACAAAGTTGAAATAAGGAGCCCCAGATTTCATCACATGAAGACAGGGTTGGCAGATTCCCTCCATTCCAGAAGCTAGGTGGTGCAGTGGTTAGAGCACTAAACTTAGCCTCTACCAGGAGATTATGGTACACCAGAGAGAGTAAAGGACTCACAAACAAATGAGAGGTGTGGGCCAGGCTTTGAGGACTGGGAGGAGAAATCGCTGACCTGGAGTCAGGAAGACCTGAATTCAAATCCTGCCTCAGATGCTTACTAGCCTTGTAACCCTGGGCAAGTCACTTAACCCGCTGCCTGCCTCAGTTTCCTCATTTGTGAAATAAATAATAATTACACCTCTCTCAAAGGGCCTGTTGTGAGGTTCAAATGAGATCATATTTGAAAAATGCTTTGTAAACTTTAAAGCGTTGTATTAAAAACTAGTTATCATTACCATTATTATTTCATCTGCTGGGTCATGGAGGAAATAGCACCTGAATTGATCCTGAAAGGATGGGAGGGATATGGGGAGAACTGGGGGCAGGGTGAGTCATTATTAGAATGTAAGCTTGAGAGCGAGGATCGTATTTAGATTACTAGTACAGTGCTTGACACATAGTAACCATTTTTAAATGGTTTTCATTCATTTGTTCCTTCCTTCCTTCATTCATTGGTTCATTCGTTCATTCATTCATTCATTCATTCTTGGAAGACACTGTGAAGAAGGCACAGAGAGAGGAAAAGACTGGGTGATACCAGAAAAGTGAGCATAGTCCTGTCTGTCCAGGTTGATTATATGAAAGGAAGCATTCTGGACACTGAGCAGAAATGCCCAAGCACAGCAATAAGCCTTAGGGAGATCACCTGAGGGAGCTAGGACATCTCCGCCCCACATAGTTTTGAGAGGATGGATTCTAAAGGGCCCAGCTTTGCCATGGTTCGGAAGCAGGCTGGAAGCAAGAGTCAAAATGGGAGACGGACGGATAGGGCCCCAGACAGTTGGCTATTTCAGAAGGCAGGCCAGGGAAGGAAGGGGTGTTCATGAGCTCTTGGGAGTCAAGATCTCTGAGGTCTTTTGGCACCCTCACTGCAGTTGGATAGGGCCCCATGCAAGCCTTTTGTGACAGTTGGGTTTCCTTGTATACCATGCTGAAATCGATTCCAGCATGGCCAAGACTCCAAGCCAGCAGGTCCCCTCAGCGCGTCCTCCATTTTTCCTTCACATTTGGGTAGTTTGTCACCTCATGCTGTAAAAAGCTCTCTCTGTCTGGGAAAACCAGGGCCTGGGCAAAGGGGGAAAGGAACAGCAAGTGTGGCAGGCCACGACATCTTCCGAGGACATCTCATTCCCCAGGACTGTTCCCCCAGCACTGCCCATACTCTCCCAAACCTTTCATTTGATAGTTGGAGGCCCGGAGATTTGGAAGGAAGTTGCAATGAGGATTTGAACCTGCATCTTCTGACTCTAAATGGAAGGTTACTTTTTTTCTTCCCCAACTATATTGTTAAATCTATACATATTCCCTTTGGTATTTATTCCCCAACAGCTCCAAGCCTGGGAAACATTTGTGGTGCTAACTGATCCTGCCAAGACACCAGCAGAGGGTGCTGCAGCCTCATCCTTGGCTTTGGACGGCTGCCGTGCACCGCCTGGGAGTCTGAGGACAGCTCCAAAGACTGACCACAGTGCAGACCAGGGATCTCTAAAAAAGTCCCCAATTCTTGCCTTGGGAAGGACCTTTGCTGTTGGAGCCTGGTCACCTGGGAGCCCAGGACCGTATGCATGCTGTCTTTATCAGCTACTTGTCCTTCCCCAGAAAAGGTAGAGATCAAAGGTACCGAGAAAGATTACTATTTCTGTGATACGCTCATATTAGCCTGGTGTAGTCAAGAGCTGAGGGTGGCCCTTACCTTGGGGCCTGTCTGATGAAGCCCTAAGGCACTGATTGCGGCTCCTTGAGAAGTGAGGGGGTGTACCGCAAGTGAGTACCAGAGAGAAGCAGTTATGTGTCAAGTTGTACATTCCCTTACCCTCAACACCTCCCCACCTCCAACAAAACTATTTTTCAAACATGTTGTTCAGTCGTATCCAACTCTTCATGACCCCGTTTGGGGTTTTCTTGGCAGGTACTGGAGTGGTTTGCCATTTCCTTTTCCAGCTCATTTTACAGATGAGGAAACTGAGGCAAACTGTGTTAAGTGACTTGCCCAGGGTCACACAGTCCAGTCCCAGCCCTCTATCTATCTGGCTGCCCTATTTTTTTTTTCAGCCCCATCTTGCCCGTACCAGATGACCCTTGTGGCTTTACTGCTTTGCCCTGAGCACAGGGAGCACAATAAAAATGGATGTAAAAGGGTTTTATAGATTCTAAAACAATACAAATGTGTGAATGAAAGAGACTGTTAGAGCCACAAGCTCTGGGTCTGCTCCAAGGACAGGGAGCTCTGGGGATGGAGGGTTGGGGCTGGGCAGGGCGGGGTTGGGAGAGAGAGAATGAGAGCTTTGAGGTCCGTACGCACTGAGGACAGTGTGCTACCCCCAGTTCCAGCCCCTCCAAGCTGGTATTTTTAGCTTAGCAGCCCAGTTCAGCCTCAAACCATTTAAGGAGTCATACAAGGTCAGGAAGACCCAGGGCAGAACTGACTTTGGGACAGGGAAGATCTCATGTCTGGTCTTGTGATAGGCAGTGACAGCCCTCAGCCAGGGAGGGGTTCCTAACCTTGGGATGATTTGGGGGAACAGGGGTAGAGGCCAAAGGAACATTGGGAGACAGAGCTGTTGGGTGCTGGGGCCAAGGCCAGCTTTAGGGAGGAGCTGACTATAATTTACCTTTCTGGTTTCATCTAGAAATCCTGGGTTAGTACCTGGGCTTCCCAGAGCAGTGGAAGAACACTGGGACCTAGAGTCAGGAGAACAGAACCAGCTGTGAGAACTTGAGCAAGTCATTTCCATCTGAGCCTTGGTTTCCTCAAAATAATAACCCTCATACTGTCTGCCTCACAAGATTACTGTGAGGGAAATTATAACCCAGGTCCCTAAATTTCCTCATTGACAGTTTACCTCTCTCTCTGTCTCTCTGTCTCTCCTCTCCCTTCTTTCTTTCTTCTCTCTCTCTTCTCCTCCCCTCTCTCCTTTTCTTTTCCTTCATTCCTTCCTCCTTCTCCCCTCCCCTTCTTCCTTCCTCTCTCTTCTTTTTCTCCTTCCTTCCTTGGCTTCTTGATCTTGACTAGACTTGAAGTGCGGTGACCCCTCACTGACCCAATCCCACTACTGAGCATCACAGGCCTTGACCTGCTCTGTGTCTGACCTAGACCGGTTTGCCCCTCCTTAGTCCCTTTTTATTCTTAATTTTGGGGTTTTTTTTTGTTTTGGTTTTAGGCAATTGGGGTTAAGTGACTTGCCCAGGGTCACACAGCTAGTAAGTGTCAAGTGTTTGGTCTGAGGCTGAATTTAAAC